TGTCCAGTTAAAAATTGTACGTACCAGTCCAGCGATGGATAGTAGAGTGAGCGAAATGGCATACGTGCGTTCAGAGCGAACGGACTTTAGTGAAAGGTATGAGCGACGCAGGTCTACACAGACGGACGTCACAAACGCAGTTCAAACAACCAGGGGCGGTTTCTCCATTGGTTCATCTGTGCAGTGAACACCCAGTTACATTTCATAAAAACATATGATTTTAAAATAAATGACATAGAAATATTAATTTGATTTTAGTAATTTTATTGTTTTAATACGTGTTAATATCGCCACCGCGCTCTGGCTAATCGCGTTTCCGTGGAGCTCGAAGCCCGAAGGAGTTAGAAGCGTTCTTGAAAATCTTTAGCTAAAAAGAGATGTCGCACGTTAACAGATCTCTGAAAAGTAGTGAAACAATCATAAAATCACTTAAATCAGCTTAATTTGCGCAACGCACATAGCGACGTCACAAAGTAGGGCGGAGCATACGAACTTTCCAATCATTGATATAAAATAATGAGATGCTATGACGCTACTAAAAGTGTCCACATAGTTTTACGTCATACGTCAAACTCGAGCAAGTGGAGTTAGTCAGTTTTAGTGAGAATAAATACCATGACTTAAATGAATGAAAAAAATTTCATTCAGTAAATCTTCAAATATAAAATTATGAACGTCAAATTAATCAAAATACGATTCAAAGTGCGTTCACTTGTCATATCGCAAAATAGTGTTTATTTCCTCTCTACATTATTTTTGTTTATTTAAAAACCGCGTTTATATAAAACTGCGAATTTAATAAATTGGAAGTATGTGTGTCAATTCAATGATTAACGAAACACGTCTTCAAGCTCCTGGTAAAATATTTACTGTTATTTTTGAGGTTATAGTTATATTTTGTTTTGTTTCGCTTTCTACGAAATAGTTATGTTTTATACCCAAATCTAAAACAGAAAACTGCATAAATGGAAACAATGTCATCAATACTCTTTTATAGGAAAACCATCTTAATTAAGCGATGACTGAGGCTCTTATGGCAATGATATAAACTACCTAACTTTAAACAGATCTTAGATTGCAGTTGCCAGCCAAGAAAAATCATTGTACATTGTACCAGAAGGTATTTCACAAGTATGACAATTTTATTATATATTTTATTCAAACAAGAATAATTTCTTGACCCTAGTACAATTTTGTATGAATAATTGTTTTATTTTGTAGGTTGTCCCTAATGAATTTGAAGTTATAGAAATATATCCAAACTATAAATGCTAGAGGTACTGATAAACAGTGTTAGACTGATGTAGAAGTGAGGATTTTACTCGAATGATGGTGTAAGCTAAACTTACATTACAGTTTTTTTTAAATGATATAAAAAATAAATATTGCACTTGGCTAAATTAATTCAAGAAACTAAATAGTTGTGTCTATGTTAGGTATGTACCTATATCATGAAGACTTAAATATTTACGGATATTAGCACCTGGGATGTAAACTGAACTATGTCGTACTATTTATAGAGGCATGTTGGAGATGTATGACACTATATCATAAAAAAATTGTTATCAAACATAAAAATATGTTGCCAAAACTAACAAGTCATTTACATTAAAAAAAAGTTTTAATAGTTAGATTACTAGTAAACAATACATATTGTGACAATAATTTGGCGCTAATTTTATTTCTAGTCAAAATATAATTGATATACCTATGTAAATATGGAACACAAGAGTGTTCAAACAACATTCAGTCTGCTCTACTAAAAAGTTGATTAGAATAACTGTGGTTTACCTCCAAGGCACTGATTACCCATTAAATAATTTTCAAAACTTTGACATCATTTTTTTATTGTACCTATTTTTTAGTCTATTATGTTATTGTTTTAGCCTTCATTATATTATTATTATTATTATTATTATACTCTTCACACAGTAGTCTGTGAAGAGTATTATAGGTTTACTTTGTCCAATGTCAAGTTTTTTGTCTGCAGTATAAGTCAAAAACAAAAAATGATATCAAGTTGAAAATTTTAAGCAAAAAATAAGCTCTATAAGGGGACAAAGCCTACTGATTTTGAAAAAATCTGATTAAAAACAGGGGGTTAAGATAAGTTGATATTTGATTTTGAAAAAAATCTGGATTAAATATGGGGGTTTAATAGAGGTTGAAATATTTAAAAAAATTCTAACTCAAAAACGAACAATAATATCAACTCAATAAAGGGATGAAGCATATTGATTCTGAAAAAAATCTGATTGAAAATGGGTGTTAAGGAGGGTTTGTTAAACTGAGAAGAGTATAATTTAGAATACCACACATTCTATATCTTCATTCTAGTTTGTATCTGGGTAATGTTATGTATTGTGATGGGACTGATCTTATAAAATAAACATTTCAGTTCACTCAGTTTATTTGTCAATAAAAATATATTATTTTATTTGACATGGGTGATAAATTGTGAAAATGTTTAAATTTGCAATAAAAACCGAAAAGTGGTAGGTTAAATTTCATATATTTTTTACACAAAAATCAATGTCAAGTTTTGTACATAACCTGATATATACTTAAAAATAATCTCAAAATATGAAGAAAAGTCAGCTGACTATAACTAATAATGTTTATAAATGGTTTTCAACATATTAAAAACAAAACAAATATTACAATAATTAAAATATTCATTATTATAAACCCAAATAAAAAAAAAACCGATATTGGCGCTTGTAAAAACTTTTGAACCAAACTTACAAACAATAAAATTATTGGAAAAAACACCCTTTTTAAATTACAACAAGCCGCCACTGCATACAACCAGGCCTAATATATTGTATGTATGTCCTGTAATTGGTATTATGAGTGATTGATTAATACATGAAGATCTTTAGATGAATGTCAGATTCAATTCTAAGATAAAGTAGAAGATATTAAATTATAAATTATTATTTCCAAATTAAAATCGGAACAGTGTCTCTCCCGCGCAAATATATATGTCAAAAATTTCTCTTATTCAATCAATGTAAATATTTTCTTAATGTTGGCCAAAGTCCAAACAACAAACAGGTTTTCTTATATATGAAAATAAACTTCTGAATAATACTATAAAACTTTTTAATTTACGGCTCAAAATATGATAAATAGATTTATCTGTTGATAAAAATCAAAAAATGGGTTAGCATTGTCGATTTCACATTTTATCATTAATTTACTTCACTGTATTGTTATTTTATACATTAGTTTGAATGTAAATTACTTTCATTAATAAATTAAGTAAACACTGTAACATTTTGATATAATTACTTATTTTACGTATACAATTAAGTAAATTATATGAACCTGTTGTTATGTAATAAAAATTGTTTATTTTGATTTTTAGTGTTTAATGTGATAAACCTCTGACGACATAGTTGTATATTCTATTCGTTTATTTTGAGAATTCTCGGTGGTTTGAAAAATTAGGTGAGGTTAGGAACATTTTGAGACCATAACCTAAGGATTTCTTGGATAAAATTGATATTTAAGCAATTATTTTTATCTAAATGAACTCAGATCTAAAAATTACCATTTCTTGATTTAGATTGACTATTTGTAAAACTTTCATAGCATATCTATTAAAGAATATATAAATAAGGAATTAATAAGTGAAAGTTTAAATTTTTTCAAAAGAAATTAAATTCATTATTTTTTAAGAATAATGGTAAGATTATTCAATAAAATACGTAATAATTGTAACATGTGTTTGTTTTGTGGTTTATTTCTGTGACCCTGTACGTTTTCACCTTCCCCATCGTGAAAACACAATAATAGATCCAAATACATCAAAAAAAGTGTGCTAGGTATTAAGTCAGTACATATTTTCAATGAGTATTTTAAAATAAATAATGTAATTTATCTGAATGACTCTACTTTCATAGTTAAAGGGCTCACTCGTAGGGGATGAATTATAGAGAGAATATTGTTACTATTAAAATTCAAGAAATGTGACAGTATTTTGCTTGTAAGTAAACAACCAGGACCGTATTTATAGGGTTCTATCCGTGTGGTATTTTCAATCGGGCCTAGGTCAGACATTAAGACATGTAAAAGTAATCCTGTAATTATAAACAAGGTGTACACTAGATGTACACTAAAAAATTTCGAGGACAGCAAAACCCATGAAAATAAAGGTCCCATGAACATTTAATTCACATGCAGATAAACGGCAGTATACATTTTTTATTGGACAAAATTGAATCAGAATGGTTTTTGCGAATTTACAATCATCTGATGATGTCAGTCAAAGGGTGCAAATGTGTTAGTTGTGTTATCAAATTAAAAATTGCTATTTGAGAGAATTATTTCAAAAATCAAAAAATACATTTATTTTGTGAATGATTGAAAAAAAAAGGTATTCAGCCAATCCATAACAGTTCATGATTTTCGTTAAATAGGTAATAAATTAAACATTTGAAAATAAGTATCGCAAAATCCATTTTTTTTTTTTTTTTTTTTTTTTAATTACGGTATATTTTTGAAATAGTATCATTTTCCCATTTTTTTTTTGTTTTCTGTACCCTTCATTGGACATTTTTCATTTTCGTCATTAACTGTTTGTGCAGTTCAGAGTCTGCAAAAGGTTTTGAATACGTAGGTATAAAAGTAGTAAAAGTGAGAAAATGAAACAACATAGAAGGCCATAGAAGAAAGGGTCGAAGTTTTAGGGTTCATAATGTATGTGGGTGTACGGAAGTGTTTGACGTCACCTTTGTGACACGTCAGCTGATTGCATAACAAAAGTGGGAGGTTCATAAATGAGTGTCAGTGCAAGTTCAAGGCCGAAAGCTGCATGGCGGGTAAGAGGGTTCCAACCGATAGGAAGGTGTCGGGGCACCTGAAGCCGATCCTGTCCCGTTATATGGTAAACAAATGTTAGCACGTGGCTTCTCCTGCTAAGACCTGTGTTTTAGGAGCATACACACGATTTGTTTTTTTTTTGCAAGGAAGAAAACAAGAATGAGCGTACTTACCGTAGGTTGTGTCCTGTAGGAGCCTGCCGGTGGAGCGCCTGGAGGTGGTCCTGAGCTCCCCGGTGGACCAGAGGGATAGCCCTGTTGGATAGGTTTCTGGGGCGGCCAAGCCTGATTATAATGCTGCTCGGGATGACCGTAACTATTCGGATATCGATGCGGCATGGTATTGTTATTACTTTGCAATAATTGATTCAACGTAGGTGTCGGCCCCGAGGGCTGCGAAATCGAGGGCCCCGTTACGAAGCGCTGATGGGGCTGGTGTGGAGGCATCTGTTTGGGAGCCCCGAAAGGCTGTCTGGGCCCGAAGGCATGTATGCCGCCCTCGTCTCTGCCGTAAGAAAACCCGTAACCGTGACCGTCCGAGGCGCCCGACGACGGGGCCGGGGGGCCCTCCGAGGAATAGATATTGGAGTCCGTTGCGGCAGCCGTTGCCCCGGCCGACGGTTCGGGTTCTCCGCCGAGGCCTGGCTCCTGCGGGCCCTGACCGGACACGGACACACTGCTGGACGTGGGGCCCGCACCCGAACTGGCGTTTGTCTGTCCAGGAACCGTCGTCGAGCCGCCTCCACTGCTATCCTGACGGTATTGACTCATTTCTATGGCGATGTTTTTGCCGGCGGTGTTCTTAGCCTTTGTATGCACTACACCGCCACCGCGAGCACTACTCTTATCGGTCCCATTTTGCAACAAGGAGTTCCGCACGTTCACGTTCAGATGCTGATCCGACTGCACTTTCTCACTATTCACGTCATTTTGTTGCTTTTCGGCCTGCGTTGCAGCCATGTTAAGAAAAACGGCTGCGATCTAGCACGGCCGATCGTTGCCAACACCCCGCCGTTATAGTCAACAACGGAAGCTTTTCTTCATTTTGGTATTCTAATTTGCACCCTAATCCTTTCAAACACATAATAAATTACTCACTGAATCACCCCTTTTACGCTGAAAATAAATAAAACCATACAACTTGTCGAATAATCCAAATTGATAGACACATCTGACACACAACTTAATTCCGTATCTACTCCAATAACACGAATGGAGGTTATGGCGGTTATGGGTAGAGGTCCGATTCCTACGCCAACATTTTACCTCGATATTTCACCATTTCTCCCTCACTTTTTATGCGTATTTTCATTTCACCTTATTTATAACACTTTGGGCAATCTTTTTAAATAATATTTTCCATTTTTTATCACAATTTTACCCAATTAATGTCCAAAAACTTGAGAACTATTTTTCCATCTGCTTGCTCTTACGCCACTGTGGCGCTGTTTCGTAGCGTAGACTTGTAAACGCGGTACTTTTAACAGGATCGAAAGCGCGGCAACGTTCAAATTTTACAATCTCCAGCTACACATTATAAACATTCTTTTCTCTTTTAAAACAACGTGCTTCACATAAATTTTACGAAAATCAAATTATTCTAACATGAATTTTTATCAATATTAAAATATATTGAGCATTAAGTACATTTTGCTTCATATTTTTCGTTTTAATAAACAGAAAATTATCTATTTTTAATTCAGGCACAAGTAAACAATAGAAGTAAAATTACCTGTATTGGCCAAATAGTATACAGGGTGTTCCTTAATGATATGCGAATATTTAAGGGTGTGAATGTACATGAAAAATGTATGTTAGTTGGTTTTATAAACTGTGGTCCAAAAATGTTCCGCTATGAAAATACGGGGTGGGCCAAAAAAAGAGGAAATTAATATTTTACTGATATTTAATAAAGGGCGACTAGATTTATCGCAAAAGTGTATTCTTCAATAATAACATTCGTTTTCTCGGAAAATACAACGGTTTTTGTTTTACTTAAAAACGGCGCATTACAGAAAAACCACTCAAGAAAGATCTATTTTCTAATTGAAAGGAGAATTCAAAACTATCTTTTATTAGAGAAAAACCATTGGCGTACCATTTTTTCTTCAAAGTCAGTGCCCGTACACATACCACTGTTAAAGTTGAAATTTTTTTTGTATTAAAATATATGTTCCTTTATTATTTGTTACAGAGTACTAAATATCACTGAAATATCTCGAGCGGTTTAGAATATATTAATTCATTTCTTTTTTTAAAACTTTAGCACCCTGTATTTTCGTAGCGAAACATTTTTGGACCATTCATTTTTCATGTAGATGCACACCCTTAAATATTCCTATGTCACTAAGAAACACCTGTATAACAACCTAATTGTTTTATAATACATATATTGACCACAGCAAAAAATTGTTAATTTGTCTTGGATAAATCTATGCAGTAAAATAAAATGTTTTGAGTATTTACGAATTTGGGGTATTATTAAAAATTTTCAAGACTTATATCTCATGAAATTTTCCTATTTTATATCTTAAACTATTTTTGTTATTTAATATTTTTAATATGGTGAAAAATATGTCTTTGTATAAAGAATAATTTAAGTGGTACAAAATTTGTTATGTTTGAATAATACTTTGAACTAAATAAGTTTAAAAACATCTAAAATTAAAAAAAATACAACTGTTTTGCTAATGCTAACAATGTATGCATCGTAAAGATAATAAATCATGTGACTATGTATAATTTTTAATTATCAATAAATAAAAAATAGTAAAAGATGATAAACGTTTACCAAATTTATTAAATAAAAGTTTAATGAACTATGCAGAAATACAAATTTAATTGAAAGCAATTATCAAATTTTTAATATATAGCTAAAGAAAAATAAAAACTATAATCTTGTTATCATAAATGTTTATCAGTCTAATGACAAAAGCAATTGTCTCTATATCCATATATTGATTGCATTATCTGAATTTTAATTGCAATTAACAATCAGTGATAAGACGACCTTACCTGTAAGAAAAAAGTTTTAACCATTAAACAGTTTATGTATTTGTTATGGGAAATAAAACAAAAAACGTAATAAATAATTTATTTCAGCCATCTTATTTGTTAAAATAAGTTTTGTTGTTTTAACAAAGACAGGTAGTTACTTAATATGACACAATTTAGCTTTATAGAATGTTTTTTAAGTAGTTAAATAGTTTTTGCTTGGACATGAGACAGGAAAATAACAAAAACTGCAATTATATTTTTACACTAAGAGTTTTTTTTAATTTAAAGTGATGTTTTAAATAAAAAACAGGAGCATATAGGTTTTTAAATATCTTACAGGCCACACTTTATATAATTTACCAATTACTGCAAATTGTATATTTATTTATGCAAGCCTTTAATTTGATATGGAAAATAGATAAGTTTTTAGTATTTGACAGTCTTATGTCAAAGCATTTTTTCTTAATAAAGTTTTGGAAGGTACAATTGTTAATTATAAAAGGTCATAAACTGTAAAGAATCAAGGCTTGCAATTTTTTTTTAAATTATGTGTATTTTGTGACGAATTTTTTATAATTATTTTATTTGTAATAGTATATTTTACAGGAGTTGGGGAATATTTTAGGTAAAACAATAATTAAATATTTATTGATGATAATAATTGTTATAAAATAGTTTTTTTTTTAATTATTGTTTGCTTTGATAAACTGATGTTTATTTTTAATTAATTTCAAAATAAATAAAAATGCATTTTTCTTAGAACTTAAAAAATACAAAGCTGACACAATGTAATACTGTTTAATACTGAACTTCCTTAAACGATTACATTATTACTCAACTTTTGTCAATTTTAAATTTCTGTTTTGTATGTATTTTTAAGCTATAAATATTTATTTTGGCGCTAAATGATGTGCTCATAACAAAGATGATAATTAAAGTTACGAAATTGCAGTATTTTTCACAATTATAATGTTTTCTTCCTTCTTTTCCATAATATAGTATAAAAATGTGGAAAAATTTTCAATTATTTTATCCACTATTAATCTAGAGCACTTCCATAAGGCTCCGTTCTCAGACCTCTCATAAATGACAAAGTTCTGTTGTTAATTTGAATCAAACTATCAATTTTAACAACCAGTTTGGTGTAAAAAAATATCACTCTTTGACATAATTAAAGGCAAAACGTAAATAACAAAATATCCATCTAAAAATAATAAAACCTAGAACAATCACATTTAAAAAAATCATAAATAAAAAGATAAATAAGAAGGTAACAAAAAATTTATTTACATAAACTCTAATAAAAGGAGTTTGTGTGATAAAAAATTACACTTCAAATAAGATGATTAGGAAACGGTTTAATCACAGTTTTCTCCTTTTTATAGGAGTTGTTCAAGTTGTAAAAGCCGTATGACACAAATAATATAAATTTTAAAGCTGATGTATCTCATTATGCAATTAAAACTGTCCATTAATAAGTTATTGAAATTTTTCCACAAAGATGGGAAATATAAGTCATTCTGACTTTAAAGTATAAAAATTACAATAATTTTTTTTTGTTAGATTATTTTTTTATTAGGATAGTCATGATTCTGGTAGTCTGAGTTACATATATATTTATTTTGGAAATTCATAAAAGATATTTTTATGTAATCTACCTAGCCATAGAAAATTCACATACTTGAAAAGTGGGAAAATATTTTTTTCTGAAATAATTTAATAGAATAACTGTTTAAGTAGATTCTTCAAAATCTTATTGTCTCCTGGCTTCAGCAATTTCATAAAAACTCCACCTAATACATTAAATTTATTAAAATGTTATTTATTATATTATTAGAGAGGTTTATTCAAATGTGTGACAATCCACGATCTGACTGATTTGAGAGATATTCATGTTAAAGATTTAAAATATGTATATAATAAAGGGGTATTACTGGTACTGCAGCTAATTGCCATAACAAAATTACTAGATATATTAAATTTTACTATTGTGACTAAAAAATTATTAAAATATACCCTTAATAAGGGCACTACAAGTGTCTATATTTAGAATACCAATGCTATAATATTGATAAACACACTCAGTATTGTCGGACTGAAAAATCAAATTGATTATTCCTGGTCAAGAGTTAAATAATCTATTGAGACAAGGTAGTATTATTTCTGAAATTTTCTTAGTGGGAACAATACCAGAATGTGGTAATTATTTTAAAATTAAATAAAATTTCAATTATTTTGTGTTAGTATTAAAAAATTACATCCAAAGAATATTTTGAAAACAAAGATAATTTATAATATAATAAAAATCATTCTGATAAGAAATATTTTGATAAATTGCCTCAAAATTCATTATTTGTTGCTGTCTACGTTATCAAATATGACTAATGACTGAATTGTTGATTTTTGGCTGTAAACAGATGATATAATAGGAGACCTGCTCTCTAATTTATTACATCATTATTTGATATCAGGTTCTGATGTTATTTGCGTTATTCCACCAAGACCTGCCTGGTCTCAAAAACTTCTATCATGATAAATTGTCAATTACAAATAATTGTTTATTATGAAAGTTATATGTTGATTAAAAATAACTCAAGTTCAATTAAAAAAAAAAAAAATGCACTACCAACATTTTTCCTATCTGGATATTAGTTATTCATTTATAGAATCTAATTTAATATTTGGCAATGTGAGATTTGTTTACAATAATTTGCAATTGACAGCTTTGCATAGACATACAAAATTAAAAGTAAAAATAGATCAGTTATTTAATTGGGATACAGCAAGTAAAAATCAAAGTATTCTGCACTCTCATTTGCTCATTTTTAAATATTTTTAAGTAAGCTAAGACTAATTAGCAATTTTTATTGGGGTCAACTAAAAATTTAACAAATAACAAAATTTAGTAGAAGGCCCTACTGTAACAGATTACTAAAAATTAAATTATATGATGCCACAAATAAGACTAGGTTTTAAAATAAACTTTAAGAGCAAAAATATGCTAAAACCAGAAATAAGATACATTAGAGTCCATTTACATTAAACACTAATGTGAGGAGCCCAAATTAATGAGTAAAAAAGTATATTCAAAGTCAGAATAATAAAAAGAATAATTTAAAAATTACTGATACATCAAGAAGGTAGTTTAAAATAAAAAATTGAATAATATTAAAAGGCAAAGAAATATTGCAGCAAATATTCAGTGTATGTTTAAATGAACACATTAAGTAGGTAGTTATGTTATATACACAGTGATTTAAAAAGTTATATTAAAAAAATGTTTTAATTACTCACTTGCTGGTACAATTTAAATATAAACTTAATATTCATCAAATAACAGATCTAAATTCGAAAATGCTATATATTAATGTTTTAAACAGTTAGATATCTAAAGAATAAATAATTAGTTTAAAAACATGTGTTACATCAAATAGAACTTTCCATTAAATGAAAGTCTGATTTCTTTTGATAAAAAATAAATTAAAAACCGGGGTTAAAATGATTTAAAAACTGGACAGGTTCAAGACCTGAGCGATTTGGGTTAAAATCCCAATCATGAAGATCCGAATTCATTCATCCACTTCTCATACTTATCTAAGTCTTCTTTGCTAACACTCTTATTATTTTTGACTAACGCTTCCTCAAAGTCTTTCATCGTTACTGGCAAATCCAGCTCCTCCTTGGGCAGCTGCTTAATTTGATCAGGCCTTAAACCACATATCTTTCTCCTCATTGACATCATAGAAGCATCTCTGCAGACATTAGTGATATCTGCACCAGAGAAACCATCTAGCCTCCTAGCTATCATAGATAGATTGATATCTGGGTCTAATTTCACTTCCCGTAGATTGATTTTAAGTAAAGCTTCCCTTCCGTCCATCGTAGGCAGAGGGATGTATATCCTTTTCTCCAATCGACGTCGTAGGGCTTCATCGATGTCCCAAGGAAAGTTTGTAGCTGCCAGAACCATCACAACTTTACCCGGTTCATCGTTGACCGTGATGCCGTCCATTTGCACCAGAAGCTCTGATTTGACCCTTCTCGATGCTTCGTGCTCTGATTCTGACCCTCTCCTGGAACACAGCGAGTCTATTTCGTCGATAAAAATTGTACTGGGCGCGTAGAATCGAGCCTAAATGATAAAGTTGTTTAATTATTACAAATTATAGATAGAAAAGTTATATATAGCCCAAAGAACAATGAAAAAATGTGTTAAGTATCTGGTTCTTGGGGATTGTGAGAGCCAGACCTCTGCTCTGAAGGAAAGATAAGATTCTAATATGTAAGAAGCTTAAAACTAGCCAGCCAATTAAATGAATTATAAACAGTTAACAAAATGTCTACCTATCATATAAAATTTGTTTTAATTACATATACTTACCATTTCAAAGAGTAACCTGACCATTTTTTCAGATTCGCCGCGATATTTTGAAGTCAAAGTTGATGATGAAACGTTAAAAAATGTTGTACCACACTCAGTAGCCACTGCTTTTGCCAACATAGTCTTTCCAGTACCTGGTGGGCCAACCATCAATACACCTTTCCATGGTCTTCTAATTCCTGTTTTAAAATTACGTTTCTGTTACAAGATTTCTTAAAGTTATTAAATATAGTCTCAAATTGTACAAATAAGCCACCAAGTCAGTAGAATTTCTTTTAATAGACATTTCAATTAAAAGGAAATATCTCAATGAATTACCACCTCAAAATATTGTGGTTACAAAGTGCACTGCTTTAATATTATTTTAATATTATTTAATTAATACATGGATCAGAGAAAAATCAGTGGTATAATGGTCTACTAAGACTGGGTTGTTCAGTGTATTTGAAGCATACAAGTCATGTTATACAATGTAGTTTTTTGACACCCAGGATATTAGAGATGTTTCAATATAATAAGGGCTATAATTAATATTATTTTAATTTATAAAGTGCTCTTAATACATAGATTAGAGAAGGATCACTGGTAGGATCGTCGACTAAGACTGGATTATGCAGTGAATTTAAGGTATACAAATCATGTTAAAGAAACAATGTAGTTTATCTGATACCAAAGGAGAGATGCGCCTCAATAGAATAGGTGCTATAAAACTAGTGTCTTTTTGCCTTTTTGACAGAATTGTTAAGTTTTTACACTCCATATTTGAATAGTAAATAAGAAGTTGAGGAATCTCAGTACATTTATTAAACTGATAATATATTTAAGGATTTAAGATTAGTCAAAAAATGAATTTAAAAGTGTTATAAACAAATATGTTTTTTACTAACACATGAATAATTACCTTTAAAAAAATCTGGCATCCACATTGGTAACACAACAGCTTCCTCAAGTAATCTTTTAGCCTCTAGTAAATCAGCAATATCATCCCAATGAATATTAGGATTTTTCTGAACAATATCCCTCTCTAAAGTATCAGCTAACTCTCTTTCCATTCCATGACATTCAAACTTCTTCTCTTCATCAGCATCATTCTTGTCATTTTTTTCTCCACTCTCTGAATCTTTATCTTTTTCTGGCTTATTACTGTCTATGATTCTCTCAGATTTTGATGAAGTAGGCCTGTCTTCACGTTTTGAATTATTTGGCCTTGCATAGCGGGAAATCTCTGCCTTTCTGGCTGTAGATGAACTTGCTCTTGATGATAGGTTACCCTTTTTAAGATCTAGTTTTCTTACATTTGAAATTCTAGGTTTGGGACCATTACTAGTTAAAACAATTCTGTCAAGTTTTGATACAGCCAAAGTATAAAAATATGTATTATATTGATAAATTAAATTTAGACAAAATATTTACCTGTGATCTACTGGTGTAGGAGGTGGCCAAACATCAGGGTCAGTTTGAGAAAAGGGATCCAAACTAGAAATATCTGAAAAGTCCCTGACAGGTTCATCTCTCCTTCTAACCCCAATAGGTACTTCTGAACTAGTTTCTATGCGCAAAGTTTGTAGCATGGATTTCAGTTGTTTAACTTGTTCATATTCTATACTAACCTTCTTTTGTACCTGTAAATGTAACTAGACTATAACACTGACTACTGAATTGTTCGGATGCTTACTTGTTGCCATTTATTTTTTCTCAATGGTTCTGAAATCTGCATTATCAGTCTTGTTATCATCTGTAGGCAACCTTCATAATAAACTTCAGCAGATTCATAGTTTCCTAACATGGACATTTCTCTAGCTAGTCTCACATTGTCACATATTTCTTTAATTGTTACTGCCATACTGTATGGGATTTTTTGTACTTGCAACTTATTTATTCTTGAAGTAAATACTGCTCATGAAATATTAATTTAAGTTTCCAACCATATTAAATAAACACTTACCATTAAAGCTATTATTATTACTTGATTTTACAAAAAATAAGAGAAATATCAATTTTTTATAAACAAATCCAGTTATGACAAATTATTTCAATTGTAATTGTCATTTGTCAATCAGTGTCATCTGCCATAACTGTCACTGTCAGTTACAACCAATGAACTGGAGTGGGGTAGAATGCTTGTCAATAGGATTGAGATGCGACTCTATGGGCGAAGACAGGTTATTTTTCATCTCACTCGGGAGTATTTATAACAACCATTTTCTATTTCACTTTGTTATTGTCTGATCCACCAGCTTGTGGATTGAACAATAACAATGTGAAACAGAAAATGGTTATTATAAATACTCCCGACTGAGATGAGAAATAAAAATGGCAGCGCCCATAGAGTCGCATCTTGTTCTATTGATACAATATGCACATTGACTTTCTACCCCACTCCAGTTCATTGGTTACAACCGTTGTTCAATGATATAATTCTATAGAATGATCATTCATATGTAAATCTGTGATTTGACTAAGGCGTTTGATTGTGTAAGGACCGATTCCACCGTTGTGTTAAACGAAGTTTAAAATAACATTTTTACATTAACAACGTCATTTTAATCTCCGTTTAACACAACGGTGGAATCGGTCCTCAATCATATAGTATTGTTACAAAAACCTTCGAGTTTGAGAATTAAAGACGAAGTGCTGAGTTGGATAAAATCTTATTTCTCAGAACGTAAGCAAATGGTAAGAGCTAATAAGTACTCTCAAGTTTTAGATATAAGTTGGGAAGTCCCTTTTATTATAAGCTTCTATATTTGGTTCCATTTTATTGATTCTATTTACTGATGAACTACGATTTTATGGGACAGATATAACGCCTGCGTTCTTTATAACACTAACCGTCGATTGCAAGAACGTTTATTAAAATTTATAGTAGCCTGATAAATTTTGACCGATGTTTAGATTAAATAATTTGATATCCATATGTTGTTCAAAGAGTTCACTATATTCACAATGAAATTTCAGGGCATTAATTTAGACAATAATTAGAAATTTAAGAACCATATAGAATCGCTAAATATAAAACTTTCTTCTGGATGTTTTGCAGTCAGAACTGTGGCAGAAGAAATAGATTTTAAACAAGCTAAAATAGTATATGACGCTCTAATTGAGTTCAATTTATGATACGGAATTGCATTTTAGGTATAGTTTGTAGCCGTGAGTTATTCAATACTGTTTTTTGTCTGTGTATTAATCCATCAAATTAACGTTGACAAAATCAGGCACTAATTGCCTCATTAACGGTCTACTTTATTAATAACCATTTATCTATATGACTATATAACTGCATTGTTGTGAACTACCCTTAACTGATTTTTTTGTAAAGGTTTAAGCACATTGACACTATCAAATCAAACATTAAAATGTGTACGAAATTTGAAGCTTGATTTTTCATTTTATTAGAAATTCGGTCCCCGGTGATTAATAATAACTATTAAAATTATTTTTATAACAACATCTGCATTTTAAGACTGATTAAAATTACCAACGCTAAACGCAATAAATGTTTGTGAAAAGCAAAACTCCGAATTAATTAAGCAATAAATAATTTCAACATTGTTAATAAAGCAGGCCCTGTTTGATGTATACCGATTAAAAGGGTCAAAACGACTCCATGCGCATGATCAGAATTACCACAACGAGCTGTTTGATGGTACCAAAAGTGAATAATGTACTTGACGATATACTGGTTGCATATACAGAAACGAAAATTTAAACGCGGGCATTTAAAGTTAAATCTATTATGATAAATTCCACCAATTAACTGTTGAACCATTCATCACTAAACTTCCTATAAATTTTAAAATCGATTTACTTTAATTTATTTTCCACCATCCGTAAGTAAACGAGGTATTGATTTTTAGTGATTGTCCTTAAATGTCCATGTCTACGTTATTCTTCAAGTTAGCTCAACTAACCCATAGCGATTCGTAATCTACTCAGTGAGATCTCCAAAATGGTACATTACATGATATTGATCAGTTAGAAACCAATCGAGATACACGGCTGTATGAAAACTTCAATTTTTTTCAAAAAATGTTCCCCAATTCACTGAATATACCGACGTGATACGTATTCTACGCAAGCAAGGGAAAAATGGGATTTTTTAAATTAAGTATTTGAGCAACCGTTCAAGCTATGAATAAGTGGTTTGTGACATTGAGATTTTCTCTTTGAACTTTACAAAGTGTGGTATATATAAATATCCCAATAGTTCAAAATTTCCAAAATCGATATGCGACTTCAAATTTTTTAGAGAGGAAAAGATTTACACGCTCACCAAATACGAATGCGATATGTATTTTTCACTATGAGACGTATTAGTACGCATTCCTATAAGATTCGTGCCTAAACAAATCATGGATGAATTGTTGGTAAGGGTAGAGAATAGAATGAATAAGGTCGCGCTCAATGCGTCATTCGATCATTTATCGAATGAGACATTTTTTATTTGTGAGGCGATGCGCTTTTCGTCGGCTTATTTATATATGAGTAAGCAATCTATATAACTATATATCATTGCCATCATTTTAATGAACAGGTTAGCCCTTTGAATATAAATAGTATTTATGTTTCAAAGTTTATCATTTATCAACGAATGTTTTTATATGTAATGGTTAAAATGGTTTTATATGCAACAGTTTTATATCTTATAGTTTTATATACATTGCTTTTATATGCAATGCTTTTATATACAATGATTTTATATACAATAATGGTTTTATATAAAATGGTTTTATATACAATGGTTTTATATATAATGGTTTTATATATAATGGTTTTATATATAATGGTTTTATATATAATGGTTTTATATCCAATGGTTTTATATCCAATGGTTTTATATCCAATGGTTTTATATCCAATGGTTTTATATACAATGGTTTTATATACAATGGTTTTATGTACAATGGTTTTGTGTACAATGGTTTTATATACAATGGTTTTATATACAATGGTTTTATATACAATTGTTTTATATACAATGGTTTTATATACAATGGTTTTATATACAATGGTTTTATATACAATGGTTTTATATACAATGGTTTTATATACAATGGTTTTATATACAATTGTTTTATCTACAATGGTTTTATATACAATGGTTTTATATACAATGGTTTTATTTTGTAGGCAATGGTTTATATACAATGGTTATATGTACAAAATGATTTTATATATAGTGGTTTTATACACAAAATAGACTAAATAATCAATCAATTTGGAGAAATGTTTTATTAACTTTATCAATTTCTGTATTGCTTGTCGATGAACTTAACTTAGAAAATATCCAAATCACTTGAGTTGTAACAACTACGCATACTTGAAATCAAGACGCCTGTCGTAAATAGTAACTAATCAGATGATTGTTTAGATCCAGTCAAAATTTTCGAGAAATTTGATAGGTCCCTTAAAGCAGCCTATAAATTCTTTAATAGTCCAAAAACTGCATTATCTACAATCCACAATAGATCTGAAAAGGTCGAGGTGGGGGAGGTCACATGGCCCAGAGTCCTAATTAAATATATCTATAAATAGTATACATATTTGACTATTTATAATTCCTTATGTAATCGACATAACAGGGCTCCAGCAAACACTTATATTTTGTTCAAGTAGGTATCCTACCAGTGTCAGATTACCAATTTTAGAATGGATGCATTCCTTTTGGAAATGTGCTCCTAACATAATTTTAAATTTGGCGGGTTTTTGACTATTATGTGAACGAGCCTAACACCACCTGTCACTTGTCGCTTGTCAACTTCAGTCAAGCCCCTCCCACCCTGCATGGTTATGATTAGAACATGGCGGAAGTTTTGTTGTAAACATAAGTTTTGGTTCGAATGTTTGTGTTTCAAATGAATGAACATTACGATATGTTTATCAAATCATAGATGTAATGTGTCATAAATAAAAGCGGTGTTATAACAATTCGCATGATTTATCACACAGATGTCAGCTGTTACACATTCGGTGCCAGGTTAGTATTTATAATACAAGATACCAAAATGTTTGGGGTGGCTTTTTGATTGTTATGACTTTATTTTAATCTAATTTATCTAATGACTGCACCAGTTATTATAAATCCGTAATTTTATATATTCTTATAGTTGCATTTAATAACAATGGTATAATTATTTATTGTATTTGTTTTAATTTCTTCGAGTTTTGCTGTTCTAAAGTATATTTTTTTGTTATTTAATTCCCGGTGAAGTATATTGCAATATTGGGATGAATTTAATAAGACAATAGTTGTAGTGGTTGGTTTTTAACCTAACCTCTAATTTTAATAGGTGCTGATCCCACGAAAGGCATCCAAAAGAGGAGAGCCGTTAACATAGGGTGAGTTTGTATTTTCATTTTTTCGCATAGTAATAAGCTTTTTACACATTTCGTCGATAATCCTGTAAAACAATATATCCTGCCCCTTAAATAACTGTAACCATTCATACAAATGAGATTAAAGGTTTGCATAATTTGCGGTCCGTCGAAATGCCCGAAGATGTCGCTGCGCGTCCTGAAATCTGAAAAGTTATTTCTGATTTGTTGGTTGTTGGCTCATTTTCTTAAAGAACGTGTTCGTTTATGGAGCAGCGAGACAGTTTTGCCGCATTTTTAGATTCAATTAGGATAAGAAAATTATTTTTCTTATCAGTTCATAAATAACTGGTTAATGGGCTATTTGTGTATTAAAACACTCAGAATATGGGTCTGAATATGGTCCTTTGCAATGGAAACCCTTAATTTTAGTATTGATAAAAGGTTTTTGCAGGTCTTCAAAAAAATGGTTCTTTGAGATAATAGAAATATATTACATGATAATACCTATACAGAGCAGGCATTTTTATCAACTCATGTTGACAAATGCATCCAGTTTTGCCAATGATCCTTTGATATCTTGTCCTAAAAATAAGTTTTTCTAATTTTGACATATAGACATTTTTTTGTAATCCCAGCAAATGTCAAAATGATCTACTTTACGCAACCAGTTGCATAATGTTGAAAATTATGAAACTGGGTTCGAAAAGTTTATTGTCACCAATTGCGAAAAGAAAACAAAAATAA